TATCTATGGGGTAAATACCTAGTAGTGCAATTGCTGGGTCATAGGGTAGCTCTATTTTTAAATTTTTGAGGAACCTCCACACTGTTTTCCAGAGTGGCTGCACCAGTTTGCATTCCCACCAACCGTGTAGGAGGGTTCCCCTTTCTCCACATCCTCCCCAACGTCTGTTGTTTCCTGTCTTGTTAATTTTAGCCATTCTGACAGGTGTGTGGTGATATCTCATTGTGGTTTTGATTTGTATTTCCCTGATGCCGAGTGATGTTGAGCATTTTTTCATGTGTCCGTTGACCATTTATATGTCTTCTCTGGAGAAATGTCTGTTCATGTCTTCTGCCCATTTCTTGATTGGATTCTTTGTTCTTTGGGTGTTGCAAAGTTTCAAAAGGTTTAAGAGGATATACAAATTAAAAATTTTCCTCTCACTCTTACTACCAAGCCATACAGTTTCTTTTTCTAGGAAACAACTAAAGTTATCAGTTTCTTACATATCTTATCAAAGATATTCTTTGCATATACAAACAAGTATTCCTAGACTTTCTATTTTTTTTCTTATTCAAATGATAGCATACCATCCACATGTTCTGAATCTTACTTTTGTCTTAACAATATATCTTGGAGGTCATTCCAAACTATGCATTTTTAAGCCTTTTACTGTGGAAATTTTCAAACATATAGAAAGGAAAAAGAATAGTATAATGAATCCCCATGTACCCATCACCCAGTTCAATAATAATTAACACCCTGTTATTATTGTTTTATATAGCCCTCTCACTTATTAATATTTTGCTGGAGTATTTTATTTTAATTAATTATTTTTTTGCTGGAGTATTTTAAAGCATATTCTAGGCATCATATCATTTCACTTTTAAGTCTTTGGGTTCATTTTGGGCTCAAAAGATAAAGACTTAAAAAAATACAATCATAATACCATTGTCACACTCAGTAAAATATATAATTTCTCAACATCATCAAATACTTGGTCTGTGTTTAGTTTTCTGTCAGTATCCAGAAAATGTTTAGTTTCATGGTTGCCAGTCTATTTTTACTGACAATTTCAGAAGACCCGCCACATCCACTCCTTGTTTCTCTTAAGTTCTTTTTCCTATTTGACACTATTCCTTATAACTTTTAAAGCTATTATAGATATTGTTCTGTTCTAAATCCTTCTTTTCTGTTTTTTCTTGGCTCCTCTACTTCCTCCTACTTTCATCCTTGAGGCCCAGTGTTGAACTCTTTTCTCTTTTTCTCTAAATTCCTGTCTTTTTTTTTTTTAAAGATTTTATTCATTCATTTGAGAGAAAGAGAGAGAGACAGCACGAACAGGGGGAGAGGCAGAGGAGAGGGAGAGGGAAAGGGAGACGGAGAGGGACAAGCAGACTCTTCACTGAACACTGAGCACAATGCGGGGCTTGGTACCAGGACCCTGAGATCATGGCTCAGAGCCAAAGTCAGATGCTTAATCAAACTGAGCCACCCAGGTGCCCCTAACTTCTCTTCTTTCAAGTAATAATCCACATTATTATTTCAGTTATCACCTTTGCTGATGACTCTAAAGCCTTTATCTCCAGCCCAAGCCTCTCATCCTAAAGCCAGTTCTCTAACTGCCTAGAGGACCTCCGAATAAAAGCTCCATTGTAAACTCAAAATGAAAATATCTAAAATGGAGCTTATCTTTCTCCCCAAATAACTTTCTTCATTTTTTCATTTCTGATAATGGCAACTTCATTCTCCCTGTTCCTAATCTTAACACCCAAGTTATTTCTAAACTGTAATTCTCTTTCATCCCCCTTATTCAGTTAGTTACCAAGTTCTATTGATTCTTCCTTTGTAGTGTCTCTAGCTTCTCTCCAGTCTCACTGTTATTCCCTAAAACCTAATCACAGACTTTCATAGGTAAAGTAGCTACCATTCAGCATTATGTTAGAAGTCCTAATCAATGCAGTGAAATGAGAAATCAAAATAAGAGATATAAATATTGGCAACAAGAGCTATAGGATACATAAAAATATAAGCAATGATCTCTTACACAGGAGAAGACCAAAAAAGCATTAAGCATAAAAGAAAAACTTGAACATATCAAAATTAACAACTTCTGCTATTTCAGAAACTTATACACCAGCCACAGAGAGGAAGAAAATTTCACAAGTCATATGTCTGACAAAGGATTTTTTTAAAGATTTATTTATTTATCTTAGAGAAAGAGAGAGAACATGAGCAGGGGGTAGGGGTAGAAGGAGAGGGAGAAGCAGACTCTCCACTGAGCAGGGATCCTGATGTGGGACTCGATCCCAGAACCCTGGGATCATGACCTGAGCCAAAGGCAGATGCTTAACCAACTGAGCCACCCAGGCGCCCCAACATTGTCAATATACTAAAAATCATTTAGTTGTGCATTTAAAATGGGTGAATTTATGATGTGTAAATTTTTACCCCAATAAAACTGTTTTAAAAAGATAATTACCCATTTGGGCCAGCAATCACATTCATATTTCCCCAAATGAACTGAAAACTCACGACCACACAAAAACCTGCACTTAGACATTTATAGTGCTTTATTCATAATTGCCGAATCTTGGAAGCAACCGAGATGTCCTTCAGAAGGTGAATGTATAAATAAACTGTGGTACATCCAGACAATAGAATATTATTCACTAAAAAGAAATGAGCCATCAAGCCATAAAAAGACATGGGAGAACCTCAAATGCACATTACTAAAGTGAAAGAGCCAATCTGAAAATTCTACCTATTGTAATGATTCCAACTATATGACATTCTGGAGAAGGCAAAACTATGGAGACAGTAAAAAGATCCGTGGTTGCCAGGGATTGTGGGGAGAGGGGAATGAATAGGCAGACCACAGACAGTTTTTAGACAGTGAAACTATTCTGTATGCTATAGTAATAGTGGATATATGTCATTGTATATTTGTCAAAACTCATAGAACACCAAGAGCGAACTCTAACGTAAACCACGGACTTTGGATTGTAACAATGTGTCAATGTAGGTTCATCTGTTGTAACAAATGTGCCACTCTGGTGGTGTGGGTTGTTGAGATAGTGGGGTAGGCTCTGCCTGTGTGGGGGCAGGAAATATGTGGAAATTCTCTGTAATTCCTGCTCAATTTTGCTGTACCTAAAACTGCTCTAAAAAAATAAAGTCTATTGGGGTGCCTGGCTGGCTCAGTTGGTAGAGCATGTGACTCTTGATCTTGGGGTCGTGAGTACGAGTCCCATGCTGGGGGTAGAGCTTACTTAAAAGAAATTAAAATAAAATAAAGTTTATTAAAATTAACTGTTGTGGCACCTGGGTGGCTCATTCGGTTAAGCATCTGCCTTCGGCTCAAGTCATAATCCCAGGGGCCTGGGATCGAGTCCCACATCAGGCTCCCTGCTCAGTGGGGAGCCTGCTTCTCCCTCTCCCTCTCCTGCTCCCCCTGCTTGTGTTCCCTCTCTCTCTCTGTCAAATAAATACATAAAACCTTTTAAAAAATTAACCGTTTATGGGGCCCTTGGGTGGCTCAGTCGGTTGAGCATCTGACTCTTGGTTTCGGCTCAGGTCATGATCTCCTGGATCATGGGATTGAGCCCTGCACCAGGCTCCATGCTCAGTGGGGAATCTACCTGAAGATTTTCCCCCTCTGCCCCTACCCCCACTCGTGTACGTGCTCTCTCTCTCTCTTTCTCTAAAGTAAATAAATTTTTAAAAAATTTAAATGTTTAAGCAAAAATAGTAACAATGTATTGTGGGGTAAAAGTAAAATGCATAATAGTGTAAAGTCCAGGAAGAGAGAAATGGAAGTACATTAATGTAAGTACATAACAACATATAACTCTTCGTGAAGTGGCATAAGAACACTTGAAGGTCGACTGATAAGTTATGGCTGTACATAATAAACCTATAAGCAACCACTCGAATAACAAAACAGAGATGTAAAGCTAATAAGCCAATAAGGAGATAAAAAATGGGATTAAAATAATATTGATTAATCCAAAAGAAGGTAGAAAAAGAGGAAAAAGAGAGCAAAGAAGAGATGGGGCAAATGGAAAGCAAATAGCAAAATGACAGACTCAAACTTAAACTATATTAACAATTATGTTAAATGTAGATGGTCCAAACACCCCAATTACAGGGTCGAGATGATCAGGTTGGGTTAAAAAAAAAAAAAAAAGCAAGACCTAACCATTTGCTGCCAACAAGAAATCCTCTTTAAATACAAAGACACAAATAGGTTAAAAGTAAAAGTATGTAAACAAAGAGGTGCCATATGATAACACTGGTTAAAAGAAAGGTGGAGGGGCTATATAAATATGGGACAAAGTAGATTTCAGAACAAAGATACCAGGAATAAAGAAGGTAATTTCATAATGATAAAGGGGTCAATAAATGAAGAAGACATAACAATTCTAAATGTGTGTGTGCCTAATATGAGCTTCAAAATACATGAATCAAAAACTGACAAACTGCAAGGAAAACTAGACAAATCCACAGTTCTAGTCAGAGATTTCAATACCCTTCTCTCAGTAATTAATAGAACAAGTAAGCATAAAATTAGTGAGGATACAGAAGTGAACAACACTATCAACCAAATGGACCCAGTTGACATTTTTAGAACACTCCACCCAATAACAACAAAATACATATTCTTTTCAAGTGCACGTGGAGTATTTACCAGGATAGACCATATTCTAGGCCACAAAAAGAGTCTCAATGAATTCAAAAGGGTCAAGTAATACAAAATATATTCTTTAAAAACAATGGAAGTAAATTACACACCAACAACCAAAAGATCTCGGGAAAATCCTCAAATATTTGAAAATGGAACAATCCACTTCTAGATATCCCATGGGTCAAAGAAGAAATCAAAAGAGAAATTAGAAAATATTTTGAACTGAATAAGGATGAAACCACACATATAATTTATGGCATTCTGCTAATGCAGTATTTAGGGGGTAATTTTTAAAGATTTTATTTATTTATCTGTCAGAGAGAGAGAGAGAGACAGAGCACAAGTAGGGGGAGCGGCAGGCAGAGGGAGAAGCAGACTCCCCACCGAGCAGGGAGCCCGATGTGGGGCTCGATCCCAGGACCCTGGGGTCATGACTTGAGCCAAAGACAGACACTTAACCGACTGAGCCACCCAGGAGGCCCTAAGGGGTAATTTTTTTAAAAAATATATATTTTATTTATTTATTTTGAAAGAGAAAGAGAGAGAGAGGGAGAGAGAGAGTGCATGCAAGAGCTGGAGGGAGGGGCAGAAGGAGAGGGAGAGAGAGAATCTTAAGCAGGCTCCTCCACGCTCAGGGCAGAGCCTGATGCAGGGCTTGATCTCATGACCCTGAGATCATGACCTAAGCCAAATTCAAGAGTCGGTTGCTTAGCGCAGTGAGCCACCCAGGTGCCCCTTAGCGAGTAGTTTTTATGCACTAAAAACCTATATTAGAACAGAAGAAATGTCTCAAAACAATGACTTCAGCTTTCACTTCAGGAAAAAGAAGAGCAAATAAAACTCAAAGTAAAGGAACAAAAATAATGAGGATCAAAGTGGAAATCAGTGAAATAGAAAACAATAGAGAAAGTCAACAAAACCAGATTCTTCTATGTCAGTGTTCATAGCACCATTATTCACAACAGTGAAACGTTGGAAAAAAACAAAACATCCATCAGTAAATGAATGGTAGCTAGAAAAGTCAAATTCATGGAGACAGAAAGTTGGTTTCCAGGGGCTGGAGGCAGGGGGGAATGAGGAGTTATTGCTTAGTGGGTACAGAGTTTCTGCTTGGGATGACAAAAAAGTTTTGGAAATATCAATGGTGATGGTTTTGCACAACATTGTGAATGTACTTAATACCACTGAATCGTATGCTTGAAAATGGTTAAAAGGGCAAATTTCGTTATGCGTAGTTGCCACGATTTAAAAACATTAATAATGTAACATACAAAAAACACATTGAATCGTACAAAAATTTTTAAAGATTATTATTTTTATTTTTAAGCAATCTCTACACCCAGGGTAGGGCTGGAACTTACAACCCCGAGATCAGGAGTCACAGGCTCTACTGACTGAGCCAGCCAGGCACCCCTGAATTGTATAATTTTAAACGAGTGAACTTATATCTCAATAAAACCGCTAAAAAAGGAGTGCATACTGTATGATTCCACTTACAGAAAAGTCTAGAAAATGCAAATTACTATGGTGATCGAAAGTAACTCTAATTCGCTCACTTTCTCATCTTCTTTTACCGCCTCCATTTTTCCTAATACTTCAGTTTCCTGCCTGACTCCTTATGTCAACGTTGGTCTTGAGGAGGAAATCGGGGTCTGGGGAGGAGGGGGCGGCCTCACTGTGCCAAGGGAAAGAGGAGCCTTGGGGAACCTCTGAACCGAGTAGCTCGTCTTGGGGTCCGCACCTGAGGGCCGGATCGAAGCAATCCTCGATTACCCCAAGGGGGTAGTTAGTCTAGAAGCCCGTGACTCGCAGACCGTGAGGCTGGCGCTGGACTCCACTTCCCAGGAGGTGTCGGGGCACCCAGCCGAGACTGCGTCTGACGACAGGGGTGGGACTCGGGAGCTGCCCGGATGTGGCGCCGAGACCGCCGAGCCCGCCGAGCCCGCCCACTCCGGCGAGAGTCGCGCCGGAGGCTGTGCCCGCCACGGTCAACAGCGCGGGAGGACGACTGCTTTGCCAGGTAATCTTTAGGGAGACTCCCCGCCCCCAGCGCTCCCCCACCCCCGCCCGCACCCCAAATTCCCCGCGCTTTTCCTGAGTCTCCCCAGCCCGGGACGGCCGCGTTAGTCTGTGAGCCGTTCCTTGGGATGGAAGGCATTGGGGGTGGGATGAGGTGGATGCATACGGCTCTTGCTGCTGGCGACTCGCATGTGGGGCAACCTCTCTGTCCCAGGCTCACGAGTCCCTAGGAAGTCCCGGAACCCAGCAGCCTTGGTGGAGAAGGATGCGAGCGAAGTGCCGAGCGGGCTTGTGGGGCTCTTGCTGGGTCACTACCCCTGCCTCCCTGGTTTAAGTTTCCAGCCGCAGGATAGTCTTCCCCTGGCTCCGGTTTGGGGAGCGTTCACGGGGCTTCCTTCGGCCTCGAAAGCCCCAAAGCCTTCTGCGACTGGACTTGAACCGAAGAAGTCAGTCTTCAGTGTGAAAAGGCTGCCGGGGTTTAGTAGGGGAGCTAAGTTGTGGAGAGTAGTGAATACAAATGGGGGGGGGGCTTCTGCTGAATTGCTTTGGTTTCAGAGAGTCACAGGATGATTTCAAGTGGATTAGACTCAGACTTATGGAAAGGGTGAGACTCGGAGGAGAATGTGCTAGAAACAGTAATCCTTTGAGCTGCGTTCTTGTCTTGACTGTTACTGGGTCTTTTACATTTGGTATTCAACCTAGGAGAAAATTGACTCCTATGCAGACTATACGTGTGAAGGAAGGATACTTTGTCAGACGAGGTTGGAAGATTTGGAAGAAACTGTAATTCCCAGTTCACTCTGCGTGACTGGGAAGGGAACTTTCTGGGGGTGTTGGTTTCTGCAGCACCAGCCCTCTCCCGATTTCCAATCCTAGAGGCATACCTAAAGATCTCTGAGCTGCCCTGGGGTTATCTGCTTCACAGTGCTACTGGGAGGCTTAAATAAGATATGTAAAAGTATTTGGCACAATGCCTATAACGAGCTCTCATTTTTTAGTTTCCCTTTGCTTCCCCATAGCAACTTTTTCCCCCCTTTGAGCCATGCATTACTCTGTATTATTGTTTGCCTTTTCATATGAGTCCTGCCTTTACCGCAAGATTGTAAGCTTCTAGCAGTCTTTCTTTTTACGCTTTTTTTGAGTCCCTTCCAGCAGTGCGGTGCCCATGGGGATACCAGGGAGAATGTAGATAGTGGTGGTGATGAGGAGGGGAAAGCTGTAGGTGATCCATAACAGGACAGCATCATGCTAGATCCCGAGGCTGAGGTAAACAAGCTTTTCTCATTTGCCTTTCTCTTATAACTCCTAGCCGCCTCTCAGAGCTCCAGACCCTTTAAAAATATTTTTATTTTTAGTATTTGAAGCCACTTTTAAATATACAGTACAGTAGTGTTAACTATATGCGTATTGCTGTGCAGTAGATCTCTAGAATTTTTCATCTTGCAAAACTGAAACTTTCTTTTTTAAAGATTTTATTTATTTGAGAGAGAGAGCACGCGAGCGGGCTAGCACGAGTGGGGGGGGCAGAGGGACAAGCGGACTCCCCACTGAGTGTGGACCCCCCCCAATACGAGGCTCGATCCCAGGACCCTGAGATCATGACCTGAGCAGAAATCAAGAGTCAGACGCTTAACCGACTGAGCCACCCAGGCTCCCCACAAAATGGTTGAATAATATTCAACCTTAAAAATATATATATATCTCACATTTTCTTTATGTTTTCATCTATGATGGTCTTTAGGTTGCTTCCACCTCTTGGCTTTTTTTAAAAAATATTTTATTTATTCATTTGAGAGAGAGAGAAAACATGAGCAGGGGGAGAGGCAGAGGGAGTGGGAGAAGCAGGCTCCCCACTGAGCCAAGAGCCCGATGCGGGGCTCGATCCCAGCACCTGGGATCATGACCTGAGCTGAAGGCAGACGCTTAACGACTGAGCCACCCAAGCGCCCCCACCTCTTGGCTCTTGTGCATAACGTTGCAGTGAACACTGGTATACAGGTATCTCTGAGAGGTCCTGTTAATTATTTTAGATGTATTTTTTTAGTATTTTTAAACTTTTTAACTATGGATAATTCCAAACACACACATAAGTAAATAAGACGGTATGATGAACATGTGGGCTGAATAAACGAGTCAATTAATTGTACAAAGTAGCCCTCCAGAATACCTGGGAGTTTTCCTGAACCTCCCTTTCATAGAGAGTTTGCTATGGGTGAGGATGTCCTGGGTTTTGTTTTAGACCTGGGATGTTCTAGCTGCCCTTCATCATCTAGGCCCTCAGCCATCAGTGTGGCTTGAATGCCCGTCTGCAGACCATATATACCAGGAGGGTTAGTAGAGAGAAACAAGCAGAAATGAGTGTAGATGCCTTTTCCTAGTTCTAGAGATGAGGAGCTGAGCTTGGGATGCGAAGTGGTCTTTGGGCCTAAGAGTTTGCTCTGGATCAGCAACTCCCTCAGATGCACAGTTGTCCTGAAAGCAGTCACTTGGAACAGAGACGTTGGATACCGGATGATATGGAATAGAAGGCTGGGAAGATGAGTTGTTCATGCAGGAATTGCTGTAGGAATTCAGAGGAGAAAGAAATTAATCCAGACTGGGAAAATCAAGGAAGGCTATTCTCAAAGAATGTGGTGGTGACTTTACCCTTTTTCCATTGACCTTGTATGTTTGATCCTTATGCCTGTTCCTAGATGGAAAAAGATAGGGCTGATGGTCAGTGAATGCTGGAGCTGAATTATACTCCGGACTTTTAGCTGTGGGACCCATGCTAAATGAAGGCTTCTAGGTGGAATGCCTTGCTAGTCAGAATTGGCTGTGTGGGATGAGAGCTACCTCTAGTGGGCCTGTGTGAAGCATGCTCAGAAGGCCAACTTTTCTTTCTTTTTTTTTTTAAGATTTAATTTAATTTATTTGAGAGAGAGAGAGAGAGCCCGCACAAGCAGGGGGGAGGGGCAGAGGGAGAAGCAGACTCCCCACTGAGCAGGGAGCCTGATGTGGGACTTGATCCCAGGACCCCAGGATCATGACCTGAGCCAAAGGCAGATGCTTAACCCACTGAGCCACCCAGGTATCCTGAAGGCCAACTTTTCTTTACTCTGACTGAAAATAAGGTGTTTTGTTTTGTCTATTATATGGGCCTAATGTAGACCTTAGCTAGTAAGACAGCAGGATGAAGGATGTATCTATTCCCCCAAATTCTCAAGGTGAGAAATTAATTGAGTCTCAATTTTATTTATTTATTTGAGGGCGAGAGAGAGAGAGCATGGGGGGGGTCAGAGGGAGAAGCAGACTCCCCACTGAGCAGGGACCCTGATGTGGGACTTGATGCTAGGACTCCAGGATCATGACCTGAGCTGAAGGCATTTGCTTGACCAACTGAGCCATCCAGGCACCCTCAATTTTTTTTCAATAATCAAATACATATGACAGTTTATCCCCTTTCCTCCATTAACACTTGAAGAAGTTAATGCTATCATAGGATCAGGTCTGAAATTAGTGCAGTAGTTAAGAAGCTAAAGGAAATGGAGTGCTTTGGGGGCACTGACAGGGTAGGGCATTGATAAGAGTTTTAATATGGGGGTATAAACGTGGGAGTGCATAGTAAACATACATCTTGGAGGTCATCTGTGCCTTACCATTAACTCTCAAATACTTGATTCATGAAGAAATGGATGAGAAATGGTGGTGGTATGACCAATGGTTTTGCTCAGATACGGTGGGAGGGGATGAGGTCCCTGGTTTGTCTAGCATTGTAATGACATTACAGAACTTTTGCCTTCCCTGGAACAGAGGAATTATTATGAAGTCATAGTAGTTTCTAATACTTAATGAGTACTTTCTGTGTGGCAGGCACTATTAAGTACCACACAAACATTCTTTCATGTAAGCCACGGGTGAAAAGCCTGCCCAAGCTGACAAAGCTTAGAAAAAGAAAGGACTGGTTTTGGATTCCAGGTGGTCTGACATCAGAGCCTGGACTCTTAGCATCCTCCTCTGGATGGCTAAGTCTGACTGGCCTACCTTTCTCCAAGTTTATGACGTCACTGTCAAGAACAGAGGTTTCTTTGCTGAAAAGCAAAGACCATAGCCAAAGACCCAAAGTAAGAGGTATATTTCTTTTGTTTCAACCTTTAGAACCTCCTTCTACATCAGTGTGTTTTTTTTAAAGATTTATTTATTTATTAGAGAGAGAGAACATGTGCATGTGGGAGGGGCAGAGGGAGAGGGAGAGAGAATCTCAAGCAGACTCTGCTGAGCACAGAGCGCAGTGCAGGGCTCGATCCCATGACCCTGAGATCACGACCTGAGCTGAAACCGAGGGTCGGATGCCTAACTGACTGCGCCAGCCAGGTGCCCCAACATCAATGGCATTTTAAAAATTAATTTCCATTTATTGAGCACCTGCTATGTTTTAGCACCTCTGAGACCTCCTGGCAAAAATGTGACAAATACCTATGTATATGAATGGTTTTTAATCTTTTTGGGCTCACAGCCCTTTTTGACAACCTGTTGACAGTTTTGGATCTTCTTTCCAGAAAAATTCACTTATGTACATGCACATAATATTGCATACTTCAGAGGCGGCTTCTAGGACCTACTGAAGTTTATCCTCTAGCAGTCCATGGACTCCACGGTAAGAACTCTTGCCCTATATAGTCTTTTCCAGCTGACTCTTCTATGGTGTTAAGGGGATGGGCAGTGGGGGGGGGTCTTACCTCCTCTCTTTATCCTCAGAGAGAAATGTTTATAAAGCTTAGGCTCCCCAAATGAACCAAGCATCTGCGAACATTCATTCTTTCTCTCTTGCACTTAGGACTCCAAGGGAAGAATGCAGACAATCAAATGCGTGGTTGTAGGAGATGGGGCTGTAGGTAAGACCTGCCTCCTCATCAGTTACACAACGAATGCCTTTCCTGAGGAGTATATCCCCACTGTCTTTGACAACTATAGTGCCCAGACATCTGTGGATGGCCAAATCGTCAGCCTGAACCTGTGGGACACAGCTGGCCAAGAGGAGTATGACCGACTGCGAACACTATCCTACCCCCAGACCAATATCTTTGTCATTTGTTTTTCCATTGGCAACCCATCCTCGTATGCCAATGTGAGGCATAAGTGGCACCCCGAGGTCTCCCACCATTGTCCCAATGTGCCTGTCCTGCTGGTAGGTACCAAGAGAGACCTGCGGAATGACACTGAGACAGTGAAGAAGCTGAAGGAACAGAGCCTAGTGCCCACAACTCCTCAGCAAGGCACTTCCCTGGCTAAGCAGGTGGGGGCTGTGAAGTATCTAGAATGTTCAGCCCTGATGCAGGATGGGGTGCACGAGGTATTTTCAGAAGCTGTTCGGGCTGTGCTTTACCCTGCCACAAAGAAGAACACCAAGAAGTGTGTCCTTTTATAGCTTTTGGGGTGCTACTTGGAGACTGCACCTAAGGGGGAATGAGAGGGATTCCTTTGATAGCATTGAACAAACAATGCCAGCATGAGCCATTTGTCTCTTTTCCTAGAAACCCTAGACTCCAGGTTATTGGGCTTTTGGAGGAACAAAGACAGCCTTGTTTGTACATGGCTGCTTTGAAGTTTGGTCTGAACCTTTTGGAGGAAGTTTGGGGGGAGAGAGAGAGAGAGACTGACTGACTTTTACCTCTAAATTAGCTTTCCTAGCTGTATTTACCATTGAGCAAGTGTCTCACAGAAAGACAAGTTTTTACAGTTTTCAAATCATTGCCTTAAACTTTCCGATATACTAATTTTGGAAAATCATTTTATATGTGATTCCTGAGTGTTCCCAGTGTCAGCATGTTCTTCCCATTCTGGAGATGAGACATGCTTACAAAAATGCCTAAGCAGCATTTTTCCAAGCTCTGGGAGATACTAATAGATGTTCCTTAACAAGATTCTGTGGTCAAGTAAGTCAGGAACCAGTGGGTTTTTTTTTAAGTGTTTATTTAAATTCCAGTTAGTTAACATACATTGTAATGTTAGTTTCACGTGTACGATATAGCGATTCAATACTTCCGTGCATCACCTGGTGCTCATCACAAGTGCCCTCCTCCTTCATCCCATCACCTATTTCCCCCAGTCCCCCCACCCATCTCGCTCTGGTAACCAGTGATTTAAATAAAGAGGAACTGGTTCCTCTACTGGGGGGATTTATAACTTTTAATAAGTGAGCAACATTTCCCAAATTTATTTCACCAAACCTTTTCTTTTTTCTTTTTTTTGGTTCCACGCAACACCTGTTAACATCTCTGGAAGCACAGTTTGAGAGAGGCTGGGTTAAGAGGAACTAGACATTCCCAAAGAGGCTGTGGAGAGAAAAAAAAAAAAGCATAATGTGGTCCTGTTCTTTTTGATGTTTCCCTGAGAGGGCCTTTGAGGGGAATGTTTATCAGCCACGGACTTGTTACTGGTTCCTCTTCTGCCCTCAGGAGATGAGTTTGGCACTTCGTCATGGTAGCACATTGGATGTGGGGTCTGATGGTCAGATCTGCTATCAGATTATGATAGCACTATGGGCCTGGTGATGTGGAATTAATCCCCCATTAAAGCTGTGTCCCTGAGGCCTCTGTGAGGCCCTTTTTTTCTGTCAGCTTCTGCTTCAGGGAAAGACCACTGAAGGTTAACCCCACAGACGAACCAACCAACCACCCAACCAAAATATTCTGCGGGTCATTATCAGGGAGTTGTGTGATTCTTCTCAGTGTCCTACCTTGCTCTTTTCCTATTCCTCCCTCCTCTGTACACTCTGTGTGTGTGTGTGTGTGTGTGTGTGTGTTTTCAGTCCTGGTTGCCTTTTGAGGTCTTTTAGTTGCTTGAAGAAAGTTGGAGTAGGTTGGATCTCCAGACCCCAGGGCTGTCACATTTGTGGGGATTTTGCTGGGGGATTTCAGCTTGCCCTGCGGCGGTAGGAGTCAGACTCCTTACCTTAGTAAGCCTGCTTCTCCTTATTCTCCCTAGTTGTATTTTTGACCTTCTTCATTAGATACGGAAGGAAAACTCCTCCACCTGGCAGATAGTGGTTGACAACTCCACTGTGCACATATTCTCTTACCCTGCCAAAAGAAGCATTGGATCTTTGAGAGTTTGGGAAATGGAGTTAAAAGAATCACGTAGCTCCCTCTGTGGTGAATGAAGAGTCTGTGCCTTGCTCTGGGATGGTCTTGCTGTTGCTCTTTGACAGTATATGGTCAGATTAGTCCTCAGGTTAACTGAGCCTCCTGGATAGGGTTGCCAGATAAAAGAGAGTAGTTTTGTTTTGTTTTGTTTTACAAACACTTTTTTAGTGTAAGTATGTACCATGCAATATTTGGGACATAGAGTCAAAAAATTATTTGCTGTTTATCTGAAATTCGAATTTAATGCGGCATCCTGTATTTTTGTTTGCTAAATCTGGCACCCCCTCTTCTTGGAGAATCGGAAGCTGGAGGTTGAGCAGATACCAAGTGTTGTTAGAAAGTGAAAGCTTGCATAAGCTCACTATTCTCCCTCCTTTCCTTCTGGTTTTCTTTTCCGTCACCATGGACTAAAATGTTCTGTTTTGCTTTTCCTTTATCCCTGAACTCTCCTCTTCATACAGTAATTCATTGGTGTGTATTTCTACACCATTGTCTAAAGCTGTGGAGGATCCAGGATGGATAGTATTGTCTAGTAGATGTCTTCTATCTCAGTTTCAATGTGCTATATCTATTTCTGGCATGTGACCCAGGGCCTCCTGTTTGGGGGGGGGTTGTAGGGGCTCTGTGTGAACAGGGTGTTAACTGGAAGAGGGTGAGGGTGGCCCTCCTTAACTAAGGTCCAGTAGCACTTTGGAAAGTGGGGGTCTATTATCGTAGTGTGGGGACTGTAGGAGTCAACTGGCCTGTGGGCACATGTGCCAACTGCTCTATGTAGTCACTGAGTTTTTCCCACGGGTGGCCAAGTGAAGCACCTGTTGCTCGAGTGTATTCCGGTCTCAGGATGTTCGGATTGATGCTGCCTGAGGTGCTTACAGGACTTCATGGTTGAAAGGGGCTAGAAACACGGCTGTCACCTGTGTCTCTGGGAACTTTCCATTTAGCTACTGAAATCTTTGTAATTGGCTTTTAATTTAATAGCACCTCCTGCTCTTGCTTTGCCTGGGAAAATCTCAGATGTAAGCCTGGGCTTGGTTTGGTCAGACTCGCATCCTCTAACGAGTGGAGGTGCGATCCCCAAGTCTGAGAGTATGGTTTTGTATTGGACTCATCTGATGGTCCTGAACAGACACTGACATCTTGATTTTTATACTTAAAAGGAATTTGTATGATGACTAACATGCTAATATCACTTTTAAATTGTTCATAATGAATGGCAATAAACTTTTCTGATTTCACTGGGTCTATTGCTTTCTAAAAATCAGAGCAATTCCTCAACCCTCCTCCTTTGTCTTGAGTGGTTTCTAAATGCCTTTCAACTTGCTAAGGATGAAATAACTATAATTGTATTCCACATCGCACCTATGTATAACTGTACTTACTTTTCTACCTCAGACAATCAGGGTAGGGAACTGTCTTCCCTGCTAACATTGATTCTCTCGTTCCTGCTGGTTTTCACTAATGACAGACCAGTTAGCTCCCTGTGGGTGATTTTTTCTCACTTAGTACACTGTATTCAATAAACAGTTATCACGCTCCTATTGTGTTATAGGTATTACAGTACTAGGGACTAGGGTTGTAAATATAGGACATAACATTCAATGTCCTTTGCCTCTTCCAGTTATTTCAAGAAAATAACCTTTCTCTGTGTGTTATAAAAATGAACTGATACTGTTAATTGTATATAGCGCTGGTGCACTATTAAGTGACTACTAAAGGGGATGCCTGGGTGGCTCAGTCGGTTAAACGTCTGCCTTCGGCTCAGGCCATGATCCCAGGGTCCTGGGATCAAGCCCCGCATCAGGCTCCATGCTCGGCAGGAAGCCTGCTTCTCCCTCTCCCACTCCCCCTACTTGTGTTCCCTCTCTCACTGTCTCTCTCTGTCTGTCAAATAAATAAATAAAATCTTTAAAAAAAAGTGACTACTAAGGAGGAGCAAAACCATGTTGTGTTTTGTTTTGCTTTGCAAACAGCTTTATTGAAATATAATTACATACCAAAAAATTCACCCATTTCAGGTGTACAGTTTAATGACTTTTAGTAAATTTACTGACTTATACAGCTGTCACCAAAATCCAGTTTTATTTTTTTAAGATTTTATTTTATTATTTTTTAAAGATTTTATTTATTTGAGAGCAAGCGAGCGTGAGTAAGAGCACAAGCAAGGGGAGCAGCAGAGGGAGAGGGAGAAGCAGGCTCCCCGTCAAGCCGGGAGCCCGATGCGGGATTCAATCCCAGGACCCTGAGATCATGACCTGAGCCGAAGGCAGATGCTAAACTGACTGAGCCACCCAGGTGCCCCAAGATTTTATTTTTAAGTAATCTCTACACCAAAGGTGGGGTTCAAACTACAACCCTGAGATCAAGAGTCGCATGCTCAACTGACTGAGCCAGCTGGGCACCCCAACTAAAATCCAGTTTTAGAACATTTTTCTCACCCCAAAGATATCCCTCATGCAGTTAATCCCTGTTCCCGCCCCCAGCCCTAGGCAACTGGTAATCTACTTTTGTCTTTTCTGAACATTTTCTGTTCTTGGAATCAAATAATATGTGGTCTTTTTTTTTTTTTAATCAAGTAAGATCTACACCCAATGTGGGGCTTGAACTCATGACCCTGAGATCAAGAGTTGCATGCTCTACCGACTAAGCCAGTCAGGCGCCCCCAGTATGCGGTCATTTGGAACTCACTTCCTCTATTTATCATAATGTTTTCAAAGTTTATCTATTTTGCAGCACCTATGGGTACTTTATTTCTTTTTGGGGGGGGATTTTTTTTTTTTTTTTACCAAACTTTTATCTTGCAGAGAAGATCAAGAAAGGCTTTCTCCTCCACCCCACCTCCCTAATTAGATTTATTTTTTAAAAGATTTTATTTATTTATTTGACAGAGAAAGCGGGAGAGGGAACACAAGCAGGGGAGTGAAAGAGGGAGAAGCAGGCTTCCCGCTGAGCAGGGAGGGAGCCTGATGCGGGGCTCGATCCGAGGACCCTGAGATCATGACCTGAGCCCAAGGCAGACGCTTAACGACTGAGCCACCCAGGCGCCCCCCTAGTTATATTTATTGCCTCTCCCATTTTTCCCCTCAGTGCATCCTAGTTTGACTATATCTTTAGGTAAGAGAGTTGCTCTATTCCCTCAAAGAACTTTGGTCATTTGAAAGTAATCTGAAGTGTTCTTTAAATTCCCATAGTCTATGTATCTTTTATCTTCTATAGTACATAGTGTCAAAAAGAAAAAACACAGGCCCACTAAGGCTAGGAGCCCCAGATCAGTAAAACCAAGACTTAATACCTTAACTAGAGTTTCAATTCCACCAGGAATATAACCTTTAACCAGTCAACATGCATTTTCCTGGTCAGCACTAGGAAATTTACTCATAGGCCCCTCTGTTCCCCTTTAGAGGGCGACCTTGCCTAAAACAGTGCTTTACTATTTTGGGGGGGGATTTTTAAAGTTTATTTATAATCTGTACACCCAACGTGGGGCTTGAACTCTATGACACCGAGATCAAGAGTCACATGCTCCACCAACTGAGCCAGGCAAGTGCCCCTACTTCATTTTTTATTGCTGAATAATATTCCACTGTATGAATATACCATATTTTGTCTACTTATAACTGAGGGAAATTTGGATTGTTTCTATCTTTTAGCTATTATGAATAGTGCTGTTGTGAACCTTTGTGTACAACTTTTTTTTTTTAAGATTTTATTTATTTATCTGACAGCACAAGCAGGGGGAGCAGTAGGCAGAGGGACAGGAAGGAGCAGACTCCCCGGTGAGCGGGGAGCCCGATGCAGGACTCGATCTCAGGACCCTGGGATCATGACCTGGGATGAAGGCAGACGCTTAACCAACTGAGCCACCCAGGCGCCCCTGTGTACAGGGTTTTGTGTGGACATGTTTTCAGTTCTCTCGGGTATATACTGGAGTGCTGGAAATTGCTGGGTCATATGGTAAATTTATACAAAACCACATTTTGAGTCAAGAATAGCATCTTTATTATTTATAGTGTGTGAAGTCCCCTTCCCCATTCTTTTTTTTTTTTAGAATTTTTAAAAAATATTATATTTAGGGCGCCTGGGTGGCTCAGTTGGTTGGTTAAGCGACTGCCTTTGGCTCAGGTTATGATCCTGGAGTCCCGGGATCGAGTTCCGCATCGGGCTTCCTGCTCGGCAGGGAGTCTGCTTCTCCCTCTGACCCTCCTCCCTCTTGTGCTCTCTCTCTCTCATTCTCTCTCTCTCAAATGAATAAATGGAATCTTTAAAAAAAAAATTAAAAAAATAAAAATATTTTATTTAGGGCACCTGGGTGGCTCAGTTGGTTAAGCGACTGCCTTCGGCTCAGGTCATGATCCTGGAGTCCCGGGATCGAGTCCCACATCGGGCTCCCTGCTCAGCAGGGAGTCTGCTTCTCCCTCTGACCCTCTTCCCTCTTGTGCTCTCTATCTCTCATTCTCTCTCTCTCTCTCAAATAAATAAAATCTTTAAAAAAACAAAAAAATAAAAATAAAAATATTTTATTTATTTGACAGAGAGCACAAGCAGGGGGAGTGGCAGAGGGAGAAGCAGACTCCCCACTGACCCAGGAGCCCAATGAGGGGCTCGATCCTAGGACCCTGGGCAGATGCTTAACCGACTAAGCCACCCAGGTGCTCC